GCGAAGCATGACAACTGAATTCAAAGGAGTGTGAGTAAATGTTCGAGTAGAACGTGGGTTCAGATGGCGTTGCAAAATCCACAACAAGAAATAATCACGTAGCCAAAGGGGCTTATGACCTACCGAGCATTGTGGTACTGCACCAAGCCACTGTGCAACCGCCGTCGCATTTGTGTCGAATATTGACTCTGCTCCTGCCACCAGCGCCAATGCCGCCAGGATGCCTGTCCTCAGAAGCATGAACTTCATCATCATCGCGATAAAGTTGCAGAAACTAGTTGTGTCTTTTGGCAATGGTGAACGCGGAAGGCCCTGCCAACGCAAACCTTGTCGCCAATGATAGGAGACTCCCGGGGGGAAACGCAAAAGAGAGGAAAGTAGCAACACCGCTACCCTTGCGCAACGGGTCTGGCAAGCTCATATGAGATTTGATCTGCCCAAGGGGGGTTTCCGCACTGCGGGTCCCGTTGTCCGCATGCCGCCGTAGGGGCCGGTCGTTTTTGCCAGAACAGTTTAGAAGCGGAACTTGACAATGCTTTGAGTATGGATGCCGGTGGGCCATAGCGCTAGTCTCAAGGTACAAGTTGACTCGTCGCGCGACTGATGCACCTACTCCGGCCGACTAACAGCTTAGGCCGGCGCTACGCCCTTGACCCTAAGCCAGATAGTAGTGTTGGCTGTGTCGCGGTCCCATCACTGACCCAACAGCACGAAGTTTGACGCTGGAGGATCGACTTGCCCCATGTGTCTGAGCCGTGCTGCTTGCTGAATGCGGAGGGCGAGACAAGCTGCGGCTAGTCCCTGTTGGAGATGTCTCGCACGTGGACTCCGACGCTAGTAGCTCCTAGTCGCCACTACGGACGACTAGAACAAAAAAAGGGCGGAATTGCCTGTCTTTCGGCAACGGCAACAGAGTTTTTCAAAATACGCTTGTTTCACTCATGAATCGGGGAGTCCATGGGGGCAAAGTGGGCAAATCCTCTCGTATTCACGTAAGCAGTGGGCTTCCAGACGGTATTGAGATCAAAATGATGCAAGCCACCCGAACATGACTACCGCTTTTATCTCCCGATAGCTGTGAAGTATGAGGCACGGTCACCGCATTCGTCTAGGTCGAAGACGAAATGGTGGTTCACGCTACCGAAAGTTGAAACTCAATGTCTGTTCATACCACCAAACTCGGCTAACACAAGGAATAAACATCAGAGGGTGTCACAACATCTCGTTGTTGAAAGAAACAAAGAGAGAGAGGCGGAGAAGCTTCAAGGAGATTGACTGAGGCGGAATCTCCTTGTCAAAGTCTGTTCTGGTTAGGTCATCGAAGGGGGTAAAATGAATGAGGGCTACACCTGTTTCTTATTGTTGGCTGATTCTCTTCAATTTACTACGCCTCAGTCTGCCCTACCCCGCACTTTACCCCTGGATCAGCCTCGTTGTCTATCCTATGCATGGCTCAGGTGGGCTTTACTGTATTGCTGTCGAAGAATGAGCGGGACGGGGAAAGGGGGAGTGGAGTTAGCTGTCAATCAACATACCTAGGCAAGGCCAAGGGTGATAAGAATGAAGGCAGGATTCTGAATTAGAGTAATTGGCATCTATAGAAACATTCCAGAGTGTCACTATCAAGTAATAACTTGTTCTTCTCAAAGCTCCAAGAGGAGTGCAGAGGTATTCCCAGACACCAGGGAAAAGTATCCTTAGAAATGGCTCGAAGAAGGTGAGAGAGAAGTGGTTTAAGACACCTGGAAGCGATGCTTTATTGTGTGCCTGGTGCCATAGGCCACTCTCCTATAGGCTCAATTCAAGAAGTGCAATCTGAAGCGCTCTAGACGGGGTTAATTGGACTTATCTCTATACCCACCAACTTTACCCCAGCCTGCTTTGAAGCCGCTTCCAACATATCCAGTTATGAGCAGAACGCCATGGGAATCGAGTCCCAAATGTGACTTCTTGGATGAACTAACAGTCAAGAGGTTCGTGCCCGTCTATCAAGATCTAATGGACGTTTGATGATGAAAGAGCCGCCTGTATGGGACTTTCCAAAGCCAGAATACTTTAGCTGCCTGTCACACGAAAAGAAAAGTGTCTTTATTGCTAGCTTTCGGCATTGTCATATTCAATTGGCATTCCCGGCCCATTTTCATCTTTACGGACCTTGCTCCTCAACTTGTCCCCTCCAATTTCTGATGCTCGCCAATTGCGATTGAGAGAAGTTTTGATGTGTATAATCCTATGTCACAACAAACGACACTAGGGAAGGAACGCGCGAGAATCGCAAGTGCTCCACACTCTCCAGCTTGGTACCAAGAACGCCGGCCGCCTAGCCGCATGTTTTGTACTATGTAACAGGGCCAATGAGGATAACAAGCATTTCAGGATAGTATGCCAATATAAGAGTGTTGTGGCTCTTGTAAATAAAGCACCCAAAGAGTGTACATTGTTGGTGAAATGAAAACGCATCAGTTCATGACCCAGCTGATACTCAGAGATGCCACTCTTACTGAAAATGCTGTCGATGAGCAGCGCTGGGGTTTGGAGAGTCGAGTCTGTCGAGACTCTCACAACGCATGCGCTGTTGAGTCTTTGCGAGAGAGAGAGAGAGAGAGCAGGTATGATGGTAGATGATTTCCGGGTTGTGGCTGGGAAACGATGGTGGTGGAAGGTGAAGTGGCTGCAACGATGTCTCACAGCCAGGCGGACACAATGTGGTTCTGGCACCCAAGATAGATAGGAGAAGAACAAGCTGGGAACATAAGAATGGACAAAATTAAGTAGTGCCCCGCCCTTAAAAGGTGTTTGGGCAACCCCTTAGTCTTCGAACCCCGTATATTACTCTCTTCTGCCTGTCCACAGCAGTAACCCAGAAACTACATAAGAATGGACGGCTTGGCAAGCAGCGAAGCAATCCGCCAGATGACCACGCAGGTTGGCTCGCGAGATGTCAACGAGATACACAACACGACATATCCAAACCGTGTGAGATTAGACTAGAAATTAGTGACGGAAGCAGCATCGTCTGCTTGACGCGTTGGGTAGTCGCAGGTGAGACTTTACAGGGCTGACATAATCATGTATCGCAGTCTGACAATTTCTGCGTTCATTGGGCAGCGGGATGCCAAAGGTCTTTGTTAGTGACACGTGACCCGGGTGTACGGTGTGTTCCGATAGCGGGACTTTAGAATAACAAAATCAACTCGGATAATACTAAGCCACAACAGCCCTAGCAATATCAACGCCGCGGCCGGCCCTCCTTTACCATCACTAATAAAGGTAAGTAGCAATGTAATAACTAGATAGACTTCAGCTCAAGTCCGCTGCTATGACCCGACTATTATTCTAGTTGGGGCTCACTGGCAAACTTAACTCGAAAAATTCCTTTGTCTTATTGTGACAACTTTGCTTAAGTGTACGGGAGGCCCTAAGATCACCGCAGCCCAAGTACATAGACCACTATCGTTACCTACAATCTTGCCAGGATCGAAAAAACTTCAGTCAAAAAAGGACATGCAACACCGGGTATTCGCTGGTCGTCACTGACCCAACTACTAATCCGGCCCTCATTGGCTTATCTATGGGAGAGCGGACGGGATCCCGAGTTTTCCAATAGGTATGGTCGTATGTACCATCGACAGTCGCCAAGCCTTCTCATAGAGCATGTCAGGACGAAGCAAGTCTTTACTAGTAATAGTAGTATGTGAGATGAGCATTTCTATGTTCATAAGTCTTGTAGTGAAAAGGTCTAGTTTCATTAATGAAATCTACTATTTGTGAAGTATATTAGTTTGCTAGCTATGAGGTAACTATATAATCAACGGCCTTTCTTTACAAGGTAGCATACCGTATCTAACGCTCGTTCGGATTACTTGGCTAGTAATCGAATACTATACAATTTATATACTAAGTCGAGGGCTATACTGCTGGACAACAAGGGGTGCCAAAGTAGAAAGCTTTTGGGCAGCCTGGTAGAACCTTAGCCTTAAGTTTCTAATATGTTATCTGACTACGATAGCGTAGTAGGTATGGGTAGAAGTAGTGGAGACTTTCCTGAGCTAAGCGGTAGCGCGTTCAATATAGGTATCGATGTCTTTACGTTTACTAGTAGTTGAGGCGCTATTCCTATGGCATCTCCCTTGAAGAAAAATGAAATAGGGATAGAGTTGGGTTGGATGTCGTTCGCAATCTTAGCGCTATTAATAGTGTCGTCGAACGCAGTCAGACACACGAAAAGGATGCGGTGTGAAAATAAGATACAAGTCAAGCTAATTGTATTGTAAGAATGTGGTGATGATGCCGAGAAGTCCGGTTTAAGATATGACTGGAGTGATTCCGGGAGGGAGGCGTCTGTGCAACTGGTAGTCAGAGTCACACCATCCGTTCAGGCAGGAAATGGTACTGTCAATCTGAACTAACAACTGTGTGTGTTGGTCATCAACACGCTTTACGAGAACGTGAAGAAATTTCTGAAGGCTTTTCTGTCTTATAGTGCATTGATATCTGACCCAAGTCGTAGGCCTTCTTGAATCCATTGCAGGAATCGGCTTGCCGGCCTGCATGCACCTAAGTCTCGAGCGTTCAAATAAACTATGCCGCAGCAGTGTGGCCCTAGGAACTCCCTAGTTCTAAGACTTCGATAGCCTATTGATATTAAACAAATGGCACATGAAGCTAACAAGCATTTGAATTTTGGTAGAAAGCTGTCGTATTTAAAATACCTTAAAGAAGTAGTGGTTAAGATGTTTGGCTGTATTCTGCGTGTTCTGCGTACAGGCTTGAGTGCAGCTGACTAATGCCCGCCAGAGGGAAGCTAGCAAGCTGCTACCTTAGTCACATGAGCGTCCGTATAATGCCACCTCAGACCCCACCCATTGAGCTCCCAGGTGCAGGTCGACATTCATGCTTACTAAGATACGGAAAATTATTTCGTCGACCCCGACGGACCCGGGCAGCCTGGCACCCAATCCACCCAGCCACGCGGTGGTTAACACAACGTCGCCATCACCATGCGAATTCCCGTGGGGTCGCTCCATCGTTTCCATCTTCCACCTCATCTTTCGCACGCGCGCTTTTCGATGAAGCAGACCTGCTCTAGTCACTTCGACCATTTGACTACTCCTGAATGCTTGCCTGACTCTCTGTACGAGTAGGAACAGAATCCCGTCGGAACCCGTTCAACCTGTGAATCTTGCTTTGCAACATCACCCTTGGATCTGTCCCCCGTCGCTCTGTTCATTCTACTGCTTGTACAGGAGCCCCCAACGCATTCCGGGCAGGGCTTTGGCCGTGTTGGAACTAGTCTTGTCTACGAAAAACCTCGCGACGTATATGCACTTGTAGCGAAGAGAGGAAAAGGAATGGTCATGACTTTACCGCGGTAAGTATCCACCTAGTTTGTCACTGGCTGCTACCAGACATTGTGCACATATAGAAGATCAAATACCGAGCGAATTTAATATGTCGTCCGGCGGAGGTATACGCTTTGTCCATACTGTTTTTGTGGTGCGTGAAGATAAAGAAAATGGACGACAGCCCGAATTCCTTGACCAACCCTTCAAACTGAACGCCCTCTATCACCCGTCGTCATCAGTTCTTTTCCGCCTCAGCGTAGCCATCGCCCACGGCACCTCGAACAAAACCACTCTCTATCTGCACATCACCCCCGACCGCATTGCTTCGCTGCGCCACACGACCTGCGATACGATTAATACGAATGACGAAAGCCCGCCGTGCCTCGAACGTGTCCGCCAGCGACTAGGTGCCAAGCGCCTCGTCACTCGCCTTCAGCTCCGGTTGCACAGTGGCTTCCATTGCCAACTTATCGCGCCCACTGGCTTAACTCGCGATGAGGTCCAAGCCTCCGACAACCCGGCGCGGTACACATTTGCCTTGGCCACGTCACTCGCGACGGCCTCAACATTTTCCCTCTATTTCCCGCACAACGTCTTGCGGATGGCCACATTCCAAGCTTTCGCCGAGGGCGTTCGACAATTTCCGAATCTGACAGCCGCCCAGCGTCAATCATATGAGCGTGTGTTGGATCTGCGCCGGCTGTATCATGGCAAAGGTGGTACTGTGGTGACGCTTGAGGAGTTCACCGCGAAGGTCCAAAGTAGCCCCCCGCGCGACGGAGAAGACAATAGAGCTTCCACGCCAGTCACATCCGAGTCGTGCGGTTCCACTGTTGCTTTTGACATTGTGCCGCGCGACCAAGAGTCACCGCCGCCGCAGTATGATGAACATGAAAATACTGGAAGGCAGCCAAGGGAGCAGGCGAGCGCCAAATCGACCGCCACGGCTTTCGTTGGTGGGGGTCTTGGCGGTGACGATGCCCTCCCTCCATACGGAGATAGCAAAGGGCAGTACAACAATACGTCAAATACTTCTAAACGAGGGCTGCACTTTGGTAGCGAAGAGACGGACATACATCCTTGCTCGAAGAGAGTCTATTGTAAGCGTGCATTCACCACTATTTACACAACTACGACGGACGAAGAACGCCCTGGAGAGAACTCGAAATCTCCACTTGCAGACCTGGAAAGGTCACAGAGTAGGTTGACGATTCTGCTTGAGCAGCAACGCCGGCAGATCCTACAGCTACAGGCAGATGTCGAGGAACTCAAGAGGCGCAATAGTGAACTCGAGGCACGGCATGACGATGTAGAGGACAACTGTTGCGACTTGGGCAACCGACAGACCGAAACTCAGGAGACTGTCGAGTCATTGCTCATTCATACCGGCGAGCTTGACGATGAGTGCGAGAAGCTCGGGAAACAAATGCCGGACATTTGCGATGATGTGGAGGAGTGGGTCAGGGACAATTTGGGAGACGCAATGCAGGAGCACATGAGCAAATGGTTTGAAGAGAACATGGCAGAAACCGTGAATGGGTACATCAACGATAAAGTTGCGGCCAAGATGGCCGTCACTAAGGCAAGAATGCGTAGAGCACTCCAAGACTAGGGTATGCTGCTTCTTTGAATGATTACCCCTCTTAATGCCATTCTTGCTGTCTGGGATATTTAATGTGACGGGAAACGAAGCTGACTCGGAAACAAAGGTGCCGTTAAACTTTGCTAAGCTCATGGGAAGAGGTTTGCATTGAACCATGGTGCCTTGATATTCTCTGAATGAGGCGGTTGAATCGTTGGGACACGCGCTGGGCAAACTTGCGAGCTTTCTAGCCGGAGTTAGCGTCCGGACGCGACTAGTATTCGGTAAAAGGCAATATGTCAAAATCAAGGAGCCAAACTCTTGTATCTGTTGTCCCAGGCATTCATCGTGTCTCAAAGCTGTTCACTATTACAAAGCTTTCGGGCCAGCCAAGAAGCAATGCTTCACTGCCTAATCCTCTAAAGACTAGCTTTAGTATAAAAGAATGGAGGAAGAAGAAATACGACTTCACTGATGTTTGTAGACTAGCTTTGGAAAAAAATTAGTCTCGTGCATTTACTATTAGGCCCGTAGAAAGATAAGGTAGGGAGTACGTTAGGCACAGCAATAAGTATCTTAACTAAGGTAAGCGACTAAGTAACTGACTGTGAATTTATACTAACTACTTATGTAGGATCTACGTGGGCAAACCTAAGATAATCAAAATCGGGCATAACTATTTGTCCAAACGGCAAATTACAGCTTACTGCAACTATATTGTGTGTGTTGCGTTACACGACAAAATGTACTGAGGAGCCTGATTGCAAGAAGACTACTACTGCTTAATAGCGTTGAGGTAAACAGCGACCTCACGATTGAAATCTTGCTGTCTCGGACAAGGAAACCGGCTGACTCTATAATCCATCTCTGACAATTCCTTTGATGAACATTCATGCCTGCACTGGTCTCGCCGGCCGGTTGTTGATAGTATTGGCCGTCGGTTAGTTATGGTACTGGGGATGATAAAACTAGAGAGGAAGTTGATTGTAGCGAAACTACTTCAAGGTAACTGCGATAGAGCAGTCACAGAAAAGTCTTTTTACCATGAAGTATTGTGGATATGAGAAGAAAGAAGGGAAATCTCTCACCATGTCCTCGACCGAGTTCAAAGTCTTCTCAGGAGCCTTCGCTTTGTGCATGCTGGCCTCAAAACCGCAAACAGGTAAGGTATCAACTTTATATATTCCATTGTTGAACATTTTTGTCTCGTTCAAGTAACAAGAATCCACCTATTGTAGCGCAACTCTACTCGAAGGAGTGCGTCCGCTTGCGCTAAGATCATAACTTCGCTGAATCTCAAATCTAAAGCCATGTCTTACGTCGCCAGCCGCGTGTATCAAAACACCGACTTTACTGTTTGATTGCGAGCACGCGAAATATGCCCAATGGTCTTTGAATGGATGACCGTTATAGACCAGCAATTCGACCAAGTAGGCTCCTTGGGGGCCTTCCGAATCCACGATTGGCTTTGGGACCGGAGGTAGACCAGGGTCTTTGTTATCAATTAGTAGAGGTGGAATCAGAGGTGGAAGAGGCGCCGGAGCGCCAGTGGTCTTGGAATAGCTGGGAAAAGAAGAAGACATAGTGATTAATATTTGAGATTTCTTATAAACTATAATACTATATTTGTGATATACTTAACTCCCAATCGAAGATATATAGCCCTTCCTCTATTATTATATACGTACGTTTCGCTCTCTAAACGGCTCTTAAAAAAAGTATTAAGTAATACTAAAAACCTAACGTAGCGAACACGACGAACTATAGTAAAGTTAGTAGAAAATACTAAATAAAATAAATATAGGGTATAAAAGTAGGGGGGTAAAGTTAATAGAGATTATATAAAGTAGAGTTAATAAATATTATTTAGAATAAACTAATTAAAAATAAAATATATTAATTTATCTTAATCTGCTTATAACGCTTATAACTTTATAATTATTTAATTTTTAAATTATTATTATAAAGTAATAATTAAGATTTTAATAACTTTATAATAAGGTACGGTTAAATTAATTACGGCTAAATAGCGCTTATTATCGTACTTAAAAAGGGAATAGTTTTAATATTTAATATAACGCTATAATAAAAATAATTACTTATTAAAAATAATTACTTATTAAAAATAATTACTTATTTAATAATATTTTAATTTAATTATAATTAATATAGCTTATTACTTTTTAAGACTTTTATTATTTATTATACCCTTATTATAGTAACTACTTAATATAAAAATAAATTACTTTTTTTAATTATTATTTTATAACTAAAAGATCTATTATTATAAAATATAACTTACCTAGCTATAATAACTACTTAATATAATATAAAAATCGCTTTTTCTTTTATTATTATTTTATAACTAAATAATCTCTTATTATAAAACGTAATTTACCTAGTTATAGTAGTTATATATTATTATATAATAACTACTTTTTTTATTCTTATTTAGTAATTAAAAATATCGTATTATAAAATATAACTTACCTAGCTATAATAGTTACCTAACTTAATAAATATATTAATATAATACTAAAAATAAAATAGTTACCTATTTAATAGTATCTAATTCTAACTATAATTAATATAGCTTATTATTTATAAAAACCTATACTACTTATTATAAAATAATCTTATAATTATTATATTATAAACTATATACTTTTATAAAATTTTTAAATATAATAGAAAATAAGAAGTACTTAGTTATTATTTATAAACTATATTAATTTGCTATAATATATAATAAAATAGTAACGTACTTACGAATAAAATACTATAATATAGTAATATCTAACTATATTAATATTATAATTACTATTTCTAATATACTAAGTATATATAAGAACTAAGTAAGTTTTAAGTAGCTATACTATCCCGAACCTATAATAAACCCTATTAATTATCTTATTATACCGCAAATAGATAATATTTAATATTATTAATACCTATATATTAATTACTAAATTTAATAAATATAAGATTATTATTAATAATATTATAACTAAGTAAATAATTAAAAAAATAGTAATATTAGTACGAGGTTAAAAAATTACGTATTATATTATAAATAACTAGTATATAGTACTAGTAGTTCTTTTTAATTTAAGCTAGAAGCTAGTAATTTAAAATATATCGTAACTAATTACTAAGTTTAACGCCGGGTATAATAACTAAAAAATAACGTTATAATAAGCTATAAAGACTTTTTATTAATTATAATAAAAATATACTAAATAGGTTAGGTAAGCTATAATAATTTTATTTATATAGTTAATAATAAACTAGAACCGAACTTATAACTCTAATAAATTAATTAAGTAGAGTATTTATATAAATTACGTATTAACTAGTTCTATAAAGTTATAACCCCGATTTAAGAGGTTAAAAAAATATTATAAATAATATAAACCTTAGTTTATGAAGTCTTAGAGCAGGCTAGGGCAATATTAATATTAAATAAAGTTAAATACGTAATACTATTTAAAGTATAATAAAAAGAAGTATATATTAAACCTACTTAGCCGTTTAATAACTATATAAAAAAATATATATAAATATAATATAAAAACGTTTGAAAAATCTTATTATATTAATATAGGCCCAAAGGTTAGGCTTAAAAGGATTTTTAAATTTATAAATTTTAAATACGTACCTAATTAGCCTTTACTTATTAATAATAAGTAAAAAAATCGTTTAATTTTTTTAAATTTATAAATTTTAAATATATACCTAGCTAGCCTTTTACTTATTAGTAATAAGTAAAAGAATTATTTAATATTTTTTTAAATTTATAAATTTTAAATATATACTTAGTTAGCCTTTTACTTATTAATAATAAGTAAAAAATTATTTAATTTTTTTTTAAATTTATAAATCTTAAATACGTACCTAGCTAGCTTTTTATTAATATGAGTAAAAGAATTATTTAATTTTTTTAAATTTATAAATTTTAAATACGTACTTAGCTAGCTTTTATTTATTAATAATAAAAAAATCGTTTAATTTTTTTAAATTTATAAATTTTAAATACGTACTTAGCTAGCTTTTTACTTACTAGTAGTAAATAAAAAATTATTTAATTTTTTTAAATTTATAAATTTTAAATACGTACTTAGCTAGCTTTTTTTATTAATAATAAGTAAAAAATTATTTAATTTTTTTAAATTTATAAATTTTAAATATATACCTAGTTAGCTTTTTACTTATTAGTAATAAATAAAAGAATTATTTAATTTTTTTAAATTTATAAATTTTAAATATATACTTAGCTAGCTTTTTATTTATTAATAATAAGTAAAGAATTATTTAATTTTTTTAAATTTATAAATCTTAAATACGTACTTAGCTAGCTTTTCTTATTAATAGTAAATAAAAAATTATTTAATTTTTTTAAATTTATAAATTTTAAATATATACTTAGTTAGCTTTTTACTTATTAATAATAAATAAAAAATAATTAACCCTATACTCTACTTAATTTTAATTATATTTCCTATTTTAATCCCTTAATAAATAAAAATAATAATAAACCTATTACCTTTTATTTCGACTTTCTTTTTAAATCTATTATAAAGCTTTTATTATTTCCGGGTTCTTATTTACTAAAATCTTATTTATAATACTAACTTTTATTATATTATATAGATCTTATATAAATAGTACCCTCTTTATTAATAAACTATAAACTAACTCTATTTTCTTTTTTAATAAACTAATATTCCCTTATTCTTTCTTAGCTTATAATTACTTATACTATAAATTATTTTTTAATAAAAATATTAAAATACTTAATTTTAATATATTAACTAAGATCCCTATGGCTATAAATTAATAAATTATATTTAAAAACCTCGCTCTTTTTTTAAGCTTAACTCTTTTATAAAATAGCTTATTAAATAATTATTAATACCCTTTCCTAGCTAGTTATAAAACTATATTTTTATAAAAACCTTATAATTATAATACTTTGGGCCCTTTTTATAATAAAAGCTCTTAAATTAATCTATTTTTTTAAAGTTTATATTATTATATATATATACGGATTTAAATAAAAACTATTTTTATTTTAATAAATATATTTATAATATTCCCTTACTATTTTATTAAAGAGGCTAATTATAAGTATTTTAATTTAATAAGCTTATTTATTAGTTTTTAATCTTTTAATTACGTTACTTATTAAAAAAGACTACTTTGTACTTAGTTAATAAATAATATAATTAATCCTTAAAAGCTTCCTAAATATTTAATAAAAAATAAGCTCGTTAATATAATAATAATTATTTTCTTATAGTTTAATATCCTCCTCCTTATCTCTCTCTTTATATCTTAAAATACTATTTAAAATTTTAATATTCTTTTAAAACATTTTTTTAATCTTTTTTTAATATTTAAGTATTTTAAGTACTTATATAGTTATATTAATAATATTAAGTATTTTAAATAAT